CTCCTACAGCCTGCAGCAGGCCAGCGCGCTGGCCGACGGCGCCCGCGGCCCTGCCCTGCGCTACGGCTCCAGGGACGACCTGGTGGCTGGGCCCGGCTTTGGCGGCGCGCGCAACCCCGCGCTGCAGACTTCCGTGTCTTCGCTGTCCAGTGCCGTGAGCCGGGCGCCGCGGACCTCGTCCTCCTCCCTCCAGGCCGACCTGGCCAACAACAACGCCCCCGGGCCTCGGCCCGGCAGCGGCTCGCACAGGTCCCCCGTGCGCCAGGGCCCCCCCTCCCCGCCCAGCACGCCCCGCTCACCCTCCTATGCAGGCCCCAAAGCTGTCGCCTTCATCCACACGGACCTCCCGGAGTCGCCACCCTCGCTGGCCGTGCAAAGGTAGGTCCCGGGGGGGGGGGGGCTGGGGGGGGCTTTCCGCCACAGGTCAGGTGTCCGGCCACCTCGTGGAGCCTCTTGGCCGAGCACGCAGAGGTCGTCAGGGAGGCCAATGGCTGCCTACGGGGGTGGGCCTCACCCTCCTTGGAGGCTCCTGGCCAGACTGTGAGGGGCGAGGGTCACCCAGCTCCAGGGATGCTGGGCACGTCGGTGGGGCGGGTACCAACTGAGCTGCATGTTCTCCTGCAGCTGGTACAACCGAGTGTCGGGGGGACCCTGGGGCTTCCTCTGGAGACAGTGTCCGTCCAGGAGGCTGAGTCCAGGGGGCATAAGCCCACAGCAGAACATGCTGCCCTGGGTGCCCATAGCCCCAGGAAGTAAGGGTCTCCTTGCTCAGAGATGGGGAAACTGAGACCCAGAGGGGCAGGCTGGTTCCAGGCCCCCAGCAGGTGGGTAACTGGAAGCTGGGCTGGCTGCCTGCCTCATGGAGTCAGGCCCAAGGAGAGTAGCTGGTGTGTGCTGGGCCCCGCCGTGAGTGCGGGGGTATTGTCTCGGTATCGCCCCTGGAGCACTGGCTCAGTTGGTGAGGACGTCCCTGTGGCGAATGTAACTGGCCCAGTGGGTGACAGCTACCTGGGCAGGTGGGGGACGGCAGGTGAAGGACGGGGCGGGAGGTGGAGTGGAGGCTCCCAGGCTCGTGAATGTTTGGGCGGCAATGTCAGAGCTGCTGTTGGTCGGTCCTGGGCAGGCTGGAGGGCAGGAAGACAGGCTCTCATCTTCCTAGGAGGGAGCAGGGAAGGAGCCACCCAGTCCCCGCTGGGCTCCCCAGCTCGGGGCACTAGGACGACGCGGGGCCTTGGGGCCTCCCTGTGCTCCGGTGTCTGTGCCGGTGGGAGGGACCAAGCGCCCTGGAGGGAAAAGGTGGCCATTCTGACATCTGTGTGTCCTGTGACAACATAGCCCCCTCCCTCCACAGGCGGTGTGCCCCCCACCCAGGGTCTGGGTGGGACTGGCTGAGCTCAGAGGCAGGGGCCGCCCCGGGCTTTGTGTGCGTCTGCGTCATCTGTCGTGCTGCCTCCGCTGGCCCGTCATGCCGTGGTCCCGTGTTCACTGTGTGTGTGCGTGTATGTGCTTGTTTTGATGCAGGGACCACCCTCAGCTGAAGACCCCCCCAAGTAAGCTTAACGGGCAGTCCCCGGGCCTGGCCCGCCTGGGGCCTGCCGCTGGCCCCCCGGGGCCCTCCGCCAGCCCTGCCCGGCACACGCTCGTTAAGAAGGTGTCCGGCGTGGGTGGGACCACGTACGAGATCTCAGTGTGAGGACTGACTGCCATCCATCCGCCGTGGAGCCCCGGGGACCAGGACCCCCAGCGGCTGCCCTCCCCTCCTGACTTCACTGCCCTGGGAGACCAGGAGGCCCAGGCCTGGTGGACACGTCAGCGGAAGAGACCACACCTCCACAAGCTGTCCCTCTTTCTCCGCCTGTCCATCCACCCATCTGCTCACCAGGGCGCGGCTGGGCCAGTGGCCGCCGGGCTGCAGGATCTGTGTGTCGGTGCCCCTGTTCCCACAGGTGGGGGCCGCGAGGGGTGTGGCACCTGCACCCTTGCACCCGTGCCCCTGAGGTCGTCCCCAGGCTGGTCCCTGCCTGCTCTCCTCACAGACGGGGCCACTGTGGCCCAGAGATGGACAGAGAGGCCTGGGTCCCTGGCCGTACTGGACCGAGGCCCCACCACCCAGCTGCTCCTAACTCGTTGCCTTTCAGGGACCCGCTGGAAGCTTGTAGCTTGGCAAGGCCAGTTCTTCTTCGGGGAGTCCAGCCCCAGCCCACAGGCACCCCGCTCTGGGATTGCTCTGGGTTCTGACAGAAAGGTGGACGATGGACAGACAGCCAGCTGTGGGTGGGGTCTTGGCTCTGTGTGTCCTGTCTCGCCCAGCTGGTGGGTGCGTCCCCGTGTCTGTGCGCTGAGCTGCCATGCCACGTCCCATGTGTTAACGCTCGGGCCCCCGCTGCCCCCACTGCCGGGAAACTCGCTTTCATTGAAGCCTTAACCAATGCTTTATGCTCTTGTGGGAGGTGACGGGGGGCAGGTGGGAGCAGGCCCGGGCCGGACGCTGCCACCGGGGCCCATGAGACCAGAAGCCCCCCCCTCCCTGCCAAACTGGAGATCCCCCACCCCAAGGCATGCAAAGTCCAGGCCCTCATGGGAAGCACATCGGGGAGGGGGTCAGAGTTTCGCCTGGCGCCAGGGACCCGAGAGTAAGCACACGGCAGCGTCTGCTTGCGTTGTGTCTGTTTTATGTTTTTATATCTACATCTATATATCTATAATTTTATTAAAAAAAGAAAAAGAGTCATTTCGATCCTTTCCTTGAGCAAGGCTAGGGCTGTTGGTGCAATGCGGGGGCTCCGGGGGCGGGGAGCAGAGTGGGTCAGGCTCTGGGAGAGGTGTTGGCCAGAGGTACGGGCGGCCTTCATGGGTGTTTCCACTGACTTAAGCTGAGCTGGAAGCTTGGGAGGTGGGGGCTGGCCGATGGGTCTTTGGCTGACGAGCATGAGGCTCCCACGGATCTGCGTCATCCCTGGTAGCAACAGGGCATTTGGAGAGAGGTTGGGGCTGCAGCTGCCCCAGGGCCCCCGAAAGCCAATCCCAGGGGCTTTTGCAGGAGACTGAGGTCCCAGGGGTTGCACTGGGGCTGCGGGTCGGCTGAGGGCCCTGTGGGGGCCGTTGCCGCCTCCTGCAGCTACATCGCTGGAACTCGCCCTCCTGGCAACCTGAGCCTCCCACTGCCAAGTGTTGGGGGTGAGGGCGTTGGGAATCCACGGTGTCTTGGGGCTGAGACAGCCAGGGCAAAGGCGGGGCCTGGGGCAGGGGCTGGCCCAATGTGGGAGGCTGGCTGGGCCTCGGACCCTGCCCTGGGCACCTCTGCCCCATGCTGACCTCCACCTTTCTGCTTCTCTCTCACGGGACGCTGCGGCCCACAGGGGGCGGATCGGCACCTGCAGCCGTGGATGGGGCCGGCGTGGCCAGCCCAGGGTGCCTCCCGGCCTGCACCTGTGCCACCTTGGCCTCCCTGAGGACCGGCCGCCGCTGCGGGCCCCCTGGAGCCTGGCCGCCCGGGCACCCCCCCGAGGGGCTATGTGCCGCCTGCACTCAGCCGCCTCCAGCCTTTTCCCCGGTCTCTCGGGGCCTGAGCGGGACGCCAAGTAGGCAGCTTTGGCGCCCGAGAGGACTGCCCGGGAAGCCAGGCAGCCACACAGCCCCTGGGCCGTGGGCTGGGGGTCCCCTCTCCACCAGCCGCACCTTGACTGACTCCCAGCTCACTGGGGCTTGTGACCCTGTGCCCACCCACCTCAGGAAGTCCCCACCTGCCGCAGGGCGTCCCACCCCCCAGGCAGGGGCCCTGGAGCTGCTGGGGCCAGCACGGCCTTCCCCGGGGGGTCGCACCAGCGCCCCGACCTCCCTGCCTGACCGAGCACTTTAGACGCCACTTCCTTCCCAGGGAGCCCAGGCCTCTGCTGGTTGGGCTGGGGCGGGGGTCTCAGGTTGTCCCTGCAGGTCACTGCACTCCCTCCTCCCCACACCCAGCACATGAACAGATGCCTTAACCTCTTGGAGCCCCCAGCCTGGTGAGCTATCCGGGCCCTGCCGGGGCGGGGAGGAGACCCTGCCAGTCCAGTGTGTTCCTGGTGACTGCTCTGCCCAGCCCTGCCCGGCAGTCTTCACTCTTTCACTCCGAGATGTGGCACCTGGGGGAGCTCAGAGGGCCCCGCTGCCCACAGCCCTGCAGGCCCTGCCAGCCAGCCAGCCAGCCAGCCAGCCAGCCAGCCAGCCAGCCAGCCAGCCGGGGCCCTGGCCATCCCCAGGGGCAGGGCGGGGCTCCGGCCAGTCCTTTTCCTGCCTGGGTGGTGCCTCTAATCCTCCCACTTGGGGATGAGCAAGCTACAAAGCTATTGTCTATTGTTCTAAAAGGTATTCCTTCCCCCCCCACCCCAATTTAATGCCCTAAATAAAATTTCTGGTGTTTACCTCCACAGCTCTGTCCACCAACGTGGTCCCCCTGTCCTCCGAGCCTTGGGGCAGTGCCAGGAGGCTGGACTGGACAGGGACCCTAGTTGGGGAGGGGACAGGAGTGGGAGGTGGGGAGGTGGTGGCCGGTCAAGTGTGGGGAGGGTGGGGTGGCAGGTGTGAAGTCAGCCGAGCAGAGCAGCCGGTCACTGAGGTCTGCTGGTTGGGCCTAGCCCCAGGGAGGAGGCCCGAGGGCCCCCAGGTCCTCACTCTGCAGAGACCCTCCCTGGTGGCCGGGGTGGGCTGGGGGCTTCTGGCGGAGGGGCTGCCCCCCAGCAGGCAGGCGGGGCCAGGGTGCCCCCCACCCCCGGAGCCCTCGGTGTGAGATGGGCCTCAAGAGCAGCGAGACCTCCTGCCCACCCCCCGTTTCCATGGAAACAGGCTCACATGCCGCGTGTGTCACGACTATATGTCCAGCAGCAGCCCCAGCCCTCAGGACAGACCCGCCGCCCCCCTTCTCCGCGGCTCCTGGCGGGACGCTGCGCGGCAGTGCTGTGGGCACCCGGGGGCTGGCCGACCGCCTGGCCTCCTCTCGCTGGGGCCGCTGGGCCTCCGGCCTAGAAGGGCAGGAAGTCGTCCACCTCCAGGCGCAGGAACGGGCCCAGCAGGGCCCGGAGCTTCCAGACGGCAGCGCGGCTCAGCAGAGGCGGCACCAGCCCCTCGAAGGGCGCGGGGTCCACCACGTACACGTAGGCGGCGGTGCAGGCCAGCAGGGCGCCCAGCAGCAGCCTCAGCGCCAGCAGCCTGCGGGCGGCGGCGGTCAGGGGCGGGGGTGCCCTCGGGCCCTGCCGGGGACTGGGCGCTGCCCGGGCACGCCGCCACCTACCAGAGCTGGCCTTTGAGGCCCTCGGAACATCCCAGCTGCGGCCTGGCCTTCTGCGGGGTGGGGGACGAGGGGTGGGGTCGGAGCCTGCGCCTGGGGTGCGTCCCTGTGCCCTCAACCACCCCCCCACCCCTCCCCACCTGGGACAGGCGCCCGTAGCCAGCCTGGTCTCAGGGATGGCCAGCCACCCCGCTCCTGCTGGGGCTCCCGCCCTGGGGTCTCTACACTGAAGCCCACAGCTCCCTGCCCAGAGGGGCCTCCAGGGTGAGGCCACCGGGAGAGGGTGAGGGTGTGCGGCGAGGGGCTTACCGCTACACACGCCATCTGCTGCTCCTTCCTGGCCTGGGTGCGGCACTGGGCACGCTCCCTGGATGGAGGGGGGTGCTGCGTAGTCAGGGCCAGGTGCGCACCCCCCTCAGCCTGCACCACCCCTTGGTCTGGTGCCCTGGAGCTGGGGAAGGGTTAGGGCTTGATCCACCCCATCCTGGCCAGGACACCTGCCCCTTCCCGGGCTCAGCCAAGCGCCCCCCCCCCCCGAGACCTTGACCCTGCACATCACCCCAGAATCTCCTGCTGAATGTCCTCCATCTGGTCTAGTACTCCCCGGATATCCTTCTTGAGGTTCTGGGGGGCAGAGGAGGTAAAACAGGCCCCCTAACCCTGACTTCTCTGCCGGATTCCCCTGCTTCCCAGTGCTCCCCTGACCCCACGCCCTCTGCCTCCTGTTCCTGTCACCCCCCGGGTGTCACCCTCTGGGGACCTACCAGGAGCCCAGTAGCCTGGTTGTTCAGGGCCATGTGTACCTCAGCCACGCCGTCCCACACCTGGTGGCGGAGGAGAGGCCGGGTCATGCTCTGAGCAGCAGGACCCCCGAATGCGTCCCACCGGGTGGCTCCCCCGGGCGGCCCTCCCACCCCGGCCAGGCGGGCACCTCGGTAATGGCCATCTTCTTCCTCTCAAAGGACAGTCGGATCTGCTGCAGCTCGTTCTGGGGAGGGGCACAGTGGGCACAAGCAGGGTCACCGAGGAGTGTTGCACGGAGGACCCCTCCCATGGCCCAGCTCCTGGGACCCACCTGAGACTGCTGCACGAAGGACTCCTCCCCCCGGCACAGCTCCTGCCGCAGCAGCTGCAGGGGCGCCCTGTCCTCCAGGGGCCGAGTGCTGGCCTGCTCCGGGGCCTGTGGGAGAGCCCTGGGGTCAGCGCCAAGGCTGGGGGCGGCGTGGGAGGTCAGGGGCTGCTTGAGAGCTGGGCGAGGCTGTGGTGCCCGAGGCCCGGGGTCATTCCCCTCGGCGGCCCTCTGTCCCCCCGTACTTACCCAGGCCAGGGCCGTACAGCTTGAGTGCTCCGTGCACAGGGGCAGGAACTGCTGCCCTGGCCCCAGGAAGGCCCCCAGCTGCTCCCGCAGATCTTGGTTCTGTCTTTTCTGAGAGTGGGGGACACAGATGGGACTGCTCATCATAGAGCTCCTTGGGCAGGAGACTGAGGCGGGGGGGCGGGGGGCTAAGGGCAGAAGCCGTGAGCCCATTGCACGGATGGGCTTGGACCCGGGGCCACCACCACCCCCCACCCCCGCCTCAGTGGGCTCTTCACTCACCAGGTTCTGGTTCTCCTGCTCCAGCTGGAGGAAGGACTGCTCTGCAGGCCCCAGGACCACGCTCTGGAGCGGGGAGGCGGCTGCCCTGGGCGAGGCCGGGGTTCCTGACCCCGAGGGCATGGGGGGGCACGGGCAGGGTCTGGGCCCCGAGCTGGGGGGCACCCCCTGCCTGGGTGCCCCTTGTTCTCGTCCTGAGTGCAGGGGCCAGCCCCACCCCAGCCTCGCCTCCACGTGTCCTTGCCTCACCCCCGCCGGGTCTCTGGGTCTCTGGCGCTGCATCTCCCTGTCTTCGCTGGCCATAAAGCCCCCGGGTACCTCGGCCCCGACCCTGGGCCCCCCGCCCCCCACCCCCGGAGGTGGGAAGGGCCTGGCAGATTCTATGGAGTGAGTGGAGCTGAGAGGCACCAGGCAGGGCCACCTTACAAAGCCCTGGCAGGGTGGATCCAGGCATCCTCCGTGGCTGCTCGAAGCTTGAGCCTGGGGGCACTGGGGGTGGGAGTGGCCACAGGGGCCTAGGGTTTTGGGCCCCTCCATGCCTCCCTGTAACCCCTTCCTAGCCCTGGGTCCGGGCTCTAGCCTGGCCCGACCTGCCACCCTCCTATCGAGGGCCCTCTAGGTGTCATGGCTCGCAGGTCTGCCTCAAGGGTGCCTGTCACAAAGGCCTGGGCACAGCCGGGGAGGTCACAATGGGCCAGGTGGTGGCCAGAGCGGGGCTGGGGGCTGGCTGGGCCCCTCCCACCAGCTCGCTGGTCCCCCCTGGGCACCTTGCCCTCCCCGGCTTCCCCACCAGCCTGAGCTATTTTCTGAAAATGGAAAACAGATAATGCAGACACAAGTTTCAAACAAAATCAAAAGCCAACAAAGGTATCCAGTGTGATCCTTCCCACCAGCCACCACCCCCTCGCCCGGTCTTTGCACTCCTTCTGGGGTGGGCTGCACATTCCGCAGGCAGGGCGTCAAGCACCCCCACCTCCTCTGCACACAGAAGAGCTCATCCCACAGTCTGGCTTTTTTACCTCACCGAACTTTGGGATTTGATTTTTTTTTAAAATCATTTATTGAACATTAATGGTTCTATAAGGACGGTTTATCCTCTTTATGGGTGGGGGCACTGAGGCACGAAGACATTGACCTGCCCGAGGTCGCACACTGTTGAGGGATAGAACCAGATGCAAGACTGCTTTTCAGTGTTTCAGAGGTCTTTTTTTTTTTTCTATTTTAAGTCCAGTATGGTTAACATACAGGTGTACGATATGATGATTCGACAATTCTGTCCTTTGCTCAGTGCTCCCCATGAGAAATGTCCTCTTGATCCCCTGCACCTAGTCCACCCATAACCCCACCGCCCACCCCCGCTCTGGTAACCAACTCTTTGTAGTTTAGAGTGTTTTTTGGCTTCTTTGTTCATTTGTTTTGTTTCTCTGATTCCACGTATGGGTGCAATCATATGTCATTTGTCTTTCTCTGACTGGCTTCTTTCACTTACCATTATACCCATTAGCTCCATCCACGTTGATGCAAATGGCAAGGCTTCACTCTTTTTTCTTTTTCTTTTTTTTATGGCTGAAGTAATCTTCTGTTGTATACACAGAAGACACCTTCTCTATCCATCTGTCTGCTGATGGACACTGGGCTGCTTCCCCATGTTGGCTATTGTAAGCAAGGCCACGATAAACACAAGGGTGCATGAATCTTTTCGAATTGGTGTTTTTGTATTCTTTGGGTACGTACTCAGTAGTGGAATTCCTGGATCAGAAGGTATTTCTATTTTTACGTTTTTAAGGAATCTCCACACTGGTTTCCACAGGGGCTGCACCAGTTTGCATTCCTACTAACAGTGCACAAGAGTTCCTTTTTCTTTTTAAAAAATAAAATCTATTTATTAGAGAGGGAGAGTGCATAGGTGAGAGTGAGCGAGCAAGAGAGAGATAGCGAGAGAGACACGTGGAGCCAGGGCAGGGGCAGAGGGAGAGGGAGAAGCAGACTCCCCGATGAGTGGGGACCCCAACCCCAGGGCTCAATCTCAGGACCCCGGGATCATGACCTGAGCTGAAGGCAGACGCTTCGCTGACTGAGCCATCCCGGGGCCCCACAAAGGTTCCTTTTTCCCAACCCTCTCCAACACCTGTTGTTCCTTGTGTTGTCAGTTAGCCGTTCTGACAGGTGTGAGAAGGTTTCTCATAGTTTTGATTTACATTTCCCTGCTGATGAGTGATGTTCAGCATCATTTCACGTGCATCTGATGGCCTCTGCGTGTCTTTGGAGAAATGTCTGTTCATGTCTTCTGCCCATTTTTATTTTTTACTTTTTTTAAAGATTTTATTTATTTATTCATGAGAGACACAGAGAAAGAGAGAGAGGGGCAGAGACACAGGCAGAGGGAGAGGCAGGCTCCATGCAGGGAGCCCGATGTGGGACTCGATCCCGGGACCCCAGGATCACACCCTGGGCCGAAGGCAGACGCCAAACCGCTGAGCCATCCAGGTGTCGCTTCTGCTCATTTTTAAATCAGATTATTTGGTTTCCAGGTATTGAGTTTTGTAAGTTCTCTCTATATTTTAGATGTTAACCGTTCATCAGAGATGTCATTTGCAAGTATCTTCTCCCGTTCAGCAGGTCATCTTCTGGTTGGTCGTGTCTTTCGCTGAGCAGAAGGTTTTTACTTTGAAGTAGTCTCAATAGTTTATTTTTGCTTTTGTTCCCCTTGCCTCAAGAGACCTATCTAGAAAAGTGTTGCTATGGCCAGTGTCAGAGAAATTACGGTGAGGGCTCTTCTAGGGTTTTTATGGTTTCAGGCTTCACATTTAAATCCTTATTCTCTGAGTTTATTTTTGAGTATGTTGAATTTGAGTTAAGAAAGCAGTCCCATTTCACTCTCCTGTATGTGTCCATCCAGTTTGCCCAGCACCCTCTGTTGAAGAGACTGCCTTTTCCCATTGCATCTTCTCACCTGCTTTGTCCAAGATTAATTGGCCATATAACCATGGCCTTTATCCCTGGGTTTTCTATTCTATTCCATTCATCTGTGTCTATTTTTATGCCAGTGCCATACTGTTTCCTTTACTTAGCTTACATAGCTTTTTTTAAAAGATTTTTAAAATTTATTTATTCATGAGAGACAGAGAGAGAGAGAGGCAGAGACACAGGCAGAGGGAGAAGCAGGCTCCATGCAGGAAGCCTGATGTGGGACTCAATCCCAGGTCTCCAGGATCATGCCCCGGGCTGAAGGCAGGCACTAAACTACTGAGCCACCCCGGGATCCCTCCTTTACTATAGTTTTGTAGGAAATCTTGAAATCGGAGACTGTGGTACCTCCAGTTATATTCTTTTTCAAGATTGCTTTGGCTTATTCAGGCTCTTTTGCAGTCCATGCAAGTTGAGGATTATCTGTTCTAGTTCTGTGACAGGTCTCTTCAATGCCTACTGAGCGCACATCCACTGCTGGAGCATTTGTTGCTCCTCCACTCTGTGGCCTGTGCTACTCAGCCCTTCCCACTGCTCCTGGAAGTCCCGGCCGCATCTTCCTTTTTCAGTACCCTCCTTGTTCTGTGGAAGCCTATCCTCAAGTAACATCCTCAGAAAGGTGCATCGGGTGAAACTCGAGTCCTTGCATGGCAGAGATGGCCACGAATCCCTTTTCTCCTGGTGCCCTTGTCTCTCTACGATGTGACTTTGCCCTCTTCACATCGAGAGACAGGGTCCCTCTCTTCAGCCTGGACTCAGGACTAACCTTGTGCATTGCCTGGGTGCGTGTGCCGGGCCCGGACCCTCTCTCGCTGCCCTGCAGACCCTCTGCCCTTGAGGAGGCACGGTCTTGCCACCAGGTGAGAGGTCATGGGGACCGAGGTTTCTGTCATTCCAGCCCATCCCCGGTGGCCCGAAGGGGCTGAAAGCCCAGTGCGACCCCAGAGCACTGTCACCAAGCTGTAGGCTACGTTGTGATTGCTCTAGCCACTGAGTTGTAGTGGCCTGTCACATGGGAATAATGGGACACCTCAGGTCTCGAGGGAGCACCATGCTCTGACCTCAGGCTTGTTGGATGTGGGGCTGGGGAGAGAATCAGCTCAGAGAGCGTTTCCCCACAGGGTGTGGGGAGGGCCTCCAGGGCCGCAGTGCTGCTGGGGGCAGGCCAGGCAAGGCTGCCAGTCTTTCAAATGTCAGCAGGCATGTTTTAAGTTTCCGAGACATCGTTATTGTTCTTTGGATGCCCCTTATTCTTTTCTAGAACATCCTGTCCCGTTTTAGGGGTACCGGTGGTTTGGAAGGGAGGGAAACTTTTTGCTTCCTGTATTTTTCCTTAATCCTCTTTGCAGCTCCTTTTTTCTTTTTGGTCTTGGGACCTCCTTTGAGACACTGGCTTTCTCTTTATTCTACTCCTATGTATAAGGGAGACAGGAAAGAGCTGACTGGCATGTTCTCTCCCCATTAACTTTAAGAGCTGCTGGAGCATCTTGATGTCAGGCCCCAGGAAGGCGGTCCTCCTGCCTCTGAGCACACATCCACCCGCTGCATTGCTGTGGTCTGGAGTAGGAGACGGGGAGGCCCCGAGTCACCTGCTGTCCTGACATCGCGGTCAGTGGAGCACTGTTGGCCTCACTTCAGTGTTGGAGGGTCATCCCAAGCTGTCCCCTTGCAAGGCCTGTTTTTCTGCTTGTTCCCCCAGGCTGTTCCACTAAGCTCGTCCTCACTTCCTGTCTGAAGAAGTCAGTCAAACCCCTTGTCTGGAGATGTCTTCCTCCGGCCCTCTTTGTCATGTGGGGTGGATGTGCTGCAGGAGCTGCTGGCAGGTGGCTCACTGACAGAGGAGCGGTGTGCACAGTGCCCAGGTGCCAGGCTGGACCCATGTGGCCCTGGCCCCAGGAGGCCCCTCTGTGTTTCTAGGGTGGCAGTGGCATCTCTGCAGCCTGTAACAACAGGTTTTGCCGAGGATGAGCTGGGAAGGAGGCTCCTCGAGCTCAGCTCAGGCATCAGTCCCCCCACCCCCCGAACTAACACCCCCCAAACTGCCCAGCCACCAGAGGGAGGAAGGAGCCTCTCTCCCACAATCCTGCTTCGGAATCTCATGAGTCAGGATGTGCTCGGTTCAGAGTACCCTTCTGGGGGCAATTCCAGCTTAGAGCTCAGGGAGGCTTCTTGGAAGACCTTGGAGGCAAGGCAGCCATGGAGAAGGAGTCCAGGCAAAGGCCCCCAGTGGCTGCTTTGTGGCTGCTTTGGGGGAGGGATGGTGGGGTGCGGGGGGCCCAGGTGGGAGCTGTGTCCCTCAGTGTCCAGCCAACCAGGTGCCAGCAGGTGCTCAGGAATGTTAAGTGGGGAACAGAGAAGAGGTCCTCATGGACACTGGTGATCCCAGCAATGACCGTGGCTGTCACGTACAGAAATGTGACTGCAGGTGGGGTCCTCATGATCTCACTGTGGGCACCCTGGCTAGGCTGTCAGACCCAGAGGCAGTGGCAATCCCTGGAGTGGGTTTGAGGAGGTCTCGGAGCACCCTGATGACACAGGAGCTCTGCTCTGGCTCTGTCTGTGACCCTGAG